AAAAATGACTGCGAGGTTTTCATAAATTTGATCACTGAGCGATGCGGAAGTCGAGCATTGTCGGTAGCACAAATGAATGATGACTGATGCGAAATTAAATTGGGTCAACGGGGATTTATTCACAAAATTAGACTGATCCTGTTCCTTCTGATCATTCTTCTGTAGGAATAGCTCCCAAGAAAATCATCTGATTTGAGAAGGATTTCTGAAACGCCGCTTACAATTGACTAATCAGTGCCTCGGCTTTAACCAACTTCGTTTTTATTTGGAATTTCAAGACAGTTAAACGAGTACTTCTGCCAGGGATTAGGTCTGCTCTCTGAAAACTGCGTTCTGCGACAGCCAATCAGAACAAGAGTAACCGAACTCAGGTGATTTGTCGAAATCGCCAGCCAGTCAAAACTTTTAACAACAATCCAGTCAGCCGATTTGTGTGGTATATGCGTCTCCATGTCCTCCCTCTTCCCCATAAATGACCATGCTTTTTCACAACAAATGAATTCCTATGCACTTCCATCTGTGTTTTACTTCATTCTCTATCTGGACGAGTAACGTCATCGGAAGACGATCATCTGAAAATTAAATATTGCGGTCATAACAACTTCTGATTGTTCAGACCATCAACAATGCCTGGTGCCTCTGAACAATCGAATGGGCTAATCAAGCTTGAAACTCTAATGTTGGTTGAGCCATTCTTACAAGGTGACAACCGTCGACCGTTTAGCTCAGGAGTAAGGGTTTGAAGTCCTAGCCCGAAGGTTCGCGATTGGAGTCCTGACAAGGACACAAAAGATACGCACTGCTGACGAGTCACAAACAGGACGAAACAGCTAGCCAATGCTCTTTGTCGGTTATCACAAACCTTTCCATCGCATTCAAACCATCCTGCTTTTCTACGTTAACTTAACGTATCGACCGTACGGTCCTAATATTGCATAATTTTTTTAAATTAGTGTAATGAACGGCAGAAAGGGTGAACGCCATAGTCACTAGGACCTGCTGTTCAGTGGTGGAAACCGCCACCCTAAGCCCCGGGACTTGGAATGGCGAAGCACATAAGGCCCCGCTAGATTAGGTGTGGTATTGAACCGGACGACAACAGAGCTGCCTACCACCAAAGTGGGGTGGCGTTGGCGGGGCTCGGACCATAGGGTCCAAAGCATGTCGGTGACAGCGACTAAACCACTGCGCCACCACCTGATATATCAATAATACAAACCCCAATTGGCAATTTCAGGCAAATAATCATAATCTATTTGTTTACGAGAGCACAGGGTAATATCTCGGTCTAAATTTATTCGTCCAATAGTTCAGAGTTGTTGATATTTCTGTGCGATAACTCGTTTCACACTGTCCCTCCTACAGAATCCGATCCTAAAAGAAAGTACGGAAACATTCAAAACCGGACAATTGAGTTCAGTTGCACTGCTGTGTGCTACAGTGGAAGAAGCTGTTAAGCAAATACCTAAGATTTTCGCCCAATGCACTGGCATACATAAGTGTTTGGTCTTGCTAAGGTGACAGATCCTTTTGTGAAAACCACAGAGGATTTAGTTTAATCAACATTGTCTCTAAACTTCTCACTGGCATCATACTCCGTCGATTGTCTGCCGCACGTGAAGAGTGCACACATGAGAACCAGGTTGGTTTTAGACCTGGTCGGCCATATCTTCACTCTTTGTCAAATTCTAGAACACAGTCACTCATTTTGTAGATTGACCGTTTTTATCTTCCTGGATCTTAAAGCGGCTTTCGACTCAGTTGACCGCTTTAAACTCTTGCTCTGCCTCTCTCTGAGGGGCGTCCCAGAGAAGTTTATTTCAATGTTGCGATCTTTTTACCCTAACAGCCGAAGATGAGTCTAAGCTTACGACACTTTTTCGCCCGAGTTCGTCAGGGTTATCCTCTCTCTCTCTCTCTCACCGTTCCTATTTAGCTTTGTTAATTTATTGATCGGGTGTCTTCTTCAGTGATAGTTCAGTTGGCCCGACAGCAACGAAGGAAGACACAGATGACAATCTATTGACTCCAGTCGAAAGCCTCCCACCAAGTCAGGACTTCCATGCAAGTTACGCACTGATTTGCCAACGAATCTACAAAGCTGGATTGATAATTCGCTTTTAACTCACAGTTGCTTGTGAGTCGTGGTGCAGGAGAAATGATGTTTATTGATTTGAACTGACTATCCTTCGGACTTCACTTTCACGCGTAATCCTCGATTCATCGATTCAACCATACAATGGGAAGCACCAGAATCGAGTTTCGCTTTTATTAGAGCTCATCAGTAGTGAATATCTACCTTCCCGTCCGGGATTTGAACTCTGGACTCATCGCATGGAAGGCGTATGCGTTACCACTGTGCCAGCCAGCTCATACCATGGCTGAACCAAATCGTGAATTTGTGTTTGTTCACGTGTCTTCTTCAATGATAGTCACTCAATTTAATTTAATTCTTTAGACAGCCCTATCTTCGTGCAGGGATAGTGGCATCGATTTACTCCCAAATGGTAGAATATCTGATCTAGAGTATGCTGAAGACTTTGTGTTACTAAGTGAATGAATAGGTAAGTCGCAGGCTTTTCTGGAAAGTTTGAGTGCTAGTGTAGCCGCGTTCGGTATGTGTTTTGCACCTTCAAAGTGTAAAATGTTACTCCAAGATTGGGTTGGTCCAGCACCCAGTCTCACTCTGAATGGGGAAGCAGCAGAGGAAGTGGACAAGTTTTGTTATCTGAGCAGCTATATCTCACCCGGTGGACGCATCACGGAAGAAGTGTCAGCTTACACACGGAAGGCTCGGTTGTCACTTTTGTCACATTTGTAGCGCCGTCGCTACTTCCGGTTGTTGTGAAGGGTCGAGTGTATGCTGCGGCAGTTCGGCCAGTTCCACTATACTGCGCGGAAACTTGACCATTAAGAAAGCAGGATAAATTAGGCTATCGGTGTTTGAGCACCGCTGTCTACGCAGCATTTCACGAATGAAGCTGAGTGATATGGCTGAGTGTCGTAAACAGTGGCGTTCGTGTATCTTCTCAATTTCTTTGCATCGATAGTTTACTGGAGTTCTCAATTTTCTCTTCGACTCCACTTTCAATCTTACTATCTTTCTGCTACTGGTTCATCCAAATGAGCAGCCAAAACCGGCACACGGAATGGTTGTACAAACTAAAGTATTTAGTATTTTGATTTTCATCTCATGCAGTGTTTCGTGCTGCTTTCATTCTATGCTAACCTACACAGACAACCATGGTCTGAGGGTTCCGGACTAAATGACCAAATGAACAGAGAAGCCATGTGTTGTTTAGATAGCAATTAATAGATTCGGTTTTTTGAATTGGTAACAACCAGTGCAATCACTTGGCCTTTCGAATCCCAATCTGCGTACAGAACACCCCGGCACACACACACACACAAAACGATTGTTTACGCAGTCCAGTGACAAGCTCTAACCATTTGGAGTGCGACGGTCCCGACGGGTTTCCCATAAATCTCAACTTGGGCATCACATTATCGAGCACAGTTTCCCACGGACCTGGATGTGGCGTACGAAGTAATGGCGTTGTTTCGTGATAAACCGCAACAAATCTGTGTTCCAGCGTTATCCGTTCCTATTGATACAATATCGGGTGACATTGGCACAACGGTCCAAGGAGTGCTAGTGTATCAAACAAAGCGGAGCACTCGCGCATTGCTGCACGGTGCTCAATCGTTCCGCAAATTAACGCTGGGAAACTGTTGTTTTTGTAAATTGGTGGTACTATCAGAACCGACTGTTGTTGATTACAAAACAAGCAACTGCGGTCAATCGGATTTCAATCATATACTATGTGTAATGGATTTTGTTCTTGAAGAGTAATTAATCTCAGCTTTTCTGACTTTTCGAAACAATTCAATAATATTCTGGTAGAATATGTATCACTTGACCTATGTTGGTGCACTGTAGATGGGGTTTAATCGCAGAAAAATATCATATTTGAATAGAGTTCGCAATTGACACTGTGCAAAGTAAAACTAAAGTTTAGAATAACTGGGGGCAAAGCAAAGAGGTGGGTTTTTATTAAGTAATGACAACTTTTACAGCATATCTCCCCAGTGTTTCGTTTAACGCTGTGTAAGCCACTCCTAACATCATGTTGCCATCATTATTTAATCAACTGATGCCGATCCACTGGTGACGTAAGTGTCTTAGTCCTCCCAACAGTTTCTGTCTGGTACGAGTTTCGTCATACGACATTGTACCCAGTTTTAAGTAGATTTATTTCACGTAAGCGGCTCCACCCCGCACTACGACTTAGTAGATCAGATAATGAGTTACGGAAAGAGATAGTCTTTCTCCATGCAAGAGGTAGTTTTTGTGATCATCCGGTAGTGCTTAAGTACACTGCATAGTAGCTTTGAGGGACTATTGACTTGAAACGTACCTTAAACGGGATACCAATATCATCTGGTTTCATATAGGAAAATAATCACTAGTTTTCCAGTTGCTGACTCCATCGTTTACTCCGCAACGGTTTGCGTTGCTTATCCACGAACATCTAGGCATAACTGTCACCGTGAAGTACTTGAACTGTTTTTCAACTTACAATCAGTTTATCTTTCGTAACAATTCTTTGTGATCTATCCAAGACTCGAAATAAAGCGAATTTTATACTTCAGTCCCAGGAAATATTCAAAGCGCTATTATCGATCCATTTGTGTGTTCCTGTGGGGAATCGCTTCGACACTTCCCTGCATCGTTTATGACTTCGTCTAGTTGCGGTAATTTAGATGAATTCCTGTTTTCTAGTATCGTTCACATCACTGCGGACGAGATGGGTTGAGATTATTGTAAATGACTCAGGCATGGTGAACAGTCTGTTATGCTCTGACGACCAGGATTACACTGTTGTCTTGAATGGACTAGCACGCCTAATCTCATTTTCTACCTTCCATTCTTTGCTTCCCTTGACATTGTTCCGTACATCACATTGGCAGTTTTTATTTTCCCGCCTCCTTTGCTACAGGAATGGCCTGTTATTGTTTCGTGATGGATCTCGTATTACACACGACCTTTCTCAGATTGATTTCGAACCCAAGTAAGTTTTTTCCCCATATGAATGCACAGCATTGCGTAGTTCAAACTGGGTTCATGGGCTGATGCACACTGTTTTCGATAACTGTGATTACAAATAGGGAAGTTCATAATTTTCGTTTTACCATAAAACCGGACTATTGCCAGTCACCACAATGGCAGAGATATGCGATTGCTAGTAATCGACTGATCAGCCTCCCCATCTGATATGAATGATCGGCACATGATTCAGAATAATGGGTTTACTTGGGGTTGAAATGTGATCATTTCTCAATCATTCTGTGATATCTCTACAATTGTTTGGTGGCTAACTGCAATAAATCGAATGACGGGAAACAAGGTTATCATTCTTCTGTATGAGTGATGAAAATGATTTCTCATCCGATTGCTACACCCTTGTATCACACACTGCGTTCGCATTTGTATCAATGTTGTTTTTGTTCGGTTCAGTTTTTTTCTTTTTAGTTGTTGATTTAATGGCAATTTCATCCACTGTAACCGTTTTTTTAAGATCCAAATAATCAGTCCATCAGCGGAATGCACGGTCGAAGATGTAGGTCAACTTGATTCATTTTCAGCTTCTTTAAACCAGTTAGTTCGGTGGACCAGGATCGATCATTCCCAGTAACCGGATATCATGGCTTTTACGTACTCTTAACGCACTAATTTCCTACTCGGAACAGATTTGCACAACGGACTGCGGTCCTGTTCTGTCTTAAAACCCGGATAAGTCACAGAATCGTTTTTCACATTGATACCTGGCATTTACTTCAATCACACTTTCGTCACTCGGTGGCGGGGCAAACTTGTGCTTCGATTTTCGATGCCAACCATCTTAGCAGACTCGATGTGGTGCGACGCTTCAGCTCGACAGGCTGTAAGAAAGGTTAATTTCTGGTCTATCGTTGTTTGCATCCAATACCGTTTAGTCTTTCGTTAGCAGATTCCGTTTATTTCTCGGCTACTAATGTTGCTTATATTGCAAGCGTTTCATCACCAACCTAGATGACATTTTGAATCGCCGTTGCATCGAGAAGTGTAGTTCGATTGTGGTTGAACAGTTTACTATGTAACTGCGAAATTCAGGGATCATTGACCCGACCAGTAACAGCAAAAACAAAAATAGCAACGCTTTCTTTCGCAACTTGGTCACATCTGTGCATCTGTATTTGAAATTTGTTCATAAGTCCGCATGTGTATCTTATCTACGATGCTCGATGATCACCTTGTCCAGTTTTTATCAGTTTCAAATTTTCGAATCAATGTGGACGATCTAAACTCCTCATCTAGTGTTTCGCCCCGGATTTCCGTGAGAAAAAACCAATGGATCATATCCCCTTGGTTCTGAGTGCCATAACCACAACCTGACCACAGTAGGGTCACCTATCAAGTTGATAATGCTGGTCAAAACGCGTTCGAATGCGCACACTGACCATCACCGTAGTCAACAGTGTGAAGATATTTACCTCTGACCGTTACGGTTATCTCATATCTTCCTTTTCCTGTGAATTACACACACACACACACACACACTATATATATATATATATATATATATATATATTCTGTTAACACCAGTCTATATGAATTATCTGTCTTCTGCTTCAATTGGCTTTCAACATTCCAATCTTCATCCTTCTTTTTTAACCAAATGGGCGGCCAAAAGACAGCAACGGAAACCAGCGCACGGAAGTGCATGGTTAATGATTGTAAAAACTGTACTGTTTGGATGTTCGATTCTGCTACCGCATCGCCTCCTCGGTCGTTTAGTTCTCCTTCTATTCTTGGATTGGGTGGCATCCATTTAATTGAGAAATTAGTTATGACCTCATTGCACCATCTCCAAATGGAACTTCGAAATAAAACAGTTCTCGGTATTCCAAAGTGACAAGCCTGGATTAGCCCATTCGAGTGTTAAGAGGCACCGGACCCTCTTGATGGTCTTGGATGTGGGTTTCAGTCCTTGTGAGATCGTTAATTTCCCACTCGTTGAATGCATTTTCATGTGATGAAAATGTTTGTGATAACCGACAAATGGCTAATCCAAGCTTGGTACTCTAAAGTTGATTGAGCCATTCGCACAAAGTGATCACCGTCTACCGTGTAGACCAGGGGTAAGGGGTTGGAGTCCCAACCCGAAGGTTCGCTGTTGGAATCCTGACAAGGACAAAAAAGTACGCATTGCTGATGAGTCCCAAACAGGACGAAACAACTAGCCAATGCTCTTTGTCGGTTATCAAAAACATTTCCATCGCATGTAAAAGTTTTCTGTATTATTGTTTTTTTTTTGTAATGGCAAACGATAATGCCGCTTTTATCCTTCAATTCATAGTTCAGCGGAATTAGACTGCTTTGGGATTTGATCGAATTGGATTTGGTGGCTTCAGAAACATTATCCAGTTTTCTTTTATCCCACAAATCGAGCCGATAGCTGAACCAGACTGATTCGGCTCTGAAGAATTTTGGCATACTACTTTCGTTTGATAGCACCGAGTGATACCCATACATGCATACAACTCCAGATGCTGGCTAATCGCTTTCATCTGATTGATGTGCCAGTTTGTGGTCGGTTATTCTGTGATCACTCTCCACCTCCCCCTCCCGCCTTACAGATTGATAATCGAGCGCAAACCGTGGCCCTAATCGTTTCCGTGATTTGTCAGCAATCCGGTTTGTGTTTTCGTGCATGCTCATTAGCGATGTTTGAGGTCACGTTTGCTACGTGTATCGGGCCAAAAGCACAGACAACTTGTGTTTTTACAGGAGTGCGTGAAATGTAGCCGAATTTCTATGCCACGCTTACACTACACTCGGTCCTTGAAAATAAAGCCGTCATAGCGGTCTTGTTCATCTATGGTGTGTATCCTTGAATGGCGAGTACAGATTAACTCTCAGACTTATAGGCGAAAGCAGCTAAAGTGAAGAGCAAATGTTTCACATGGTACAATCTCTCGAACGACTAAATGCCACTGGTCGCTAATTGGATGTTTCTACTACTAATGCATTTATATTGGTTAGGATTTGCTGAATATCGCGCTGTTAAATAACTTTTCCCTCACGATTACGGTTGAGAATTTCGTAAATTGTATCCATATACCATATCTGTCACAAGTCGATGCTTATGGAAGTCCTCTTGATATCTTTTTTTAAGTGCACAGGACACGAATCACATTTGAGAATGGAATCACATGCGTTTATATATAAACCCGAACCAATCAGATTGTTCCGTCTGCAAAATTAAAGTCTTGTACGGATCAATCATAAAAATGCAATTGATGCAGTGAAACAAACGATCAATTCAAACAACACTGTCCAACACATCCTCCTTTGAAAGTTTTCCATTATGATCCTGATTGGTATATCCGTCCTCTTCCTCTTTGGGATGGAGATTGTGCTGTCATACTTGTCATTGATATTTCTCGCTGCCGTTCTTGTACCCTGGTTTCGACGTCCTCCTGGATGGTATTTGGATCTTCTCTTTCTTCGCCTTTGTCGCAATTCCCTTCAACTTTCCTCAAATGAACTCTATTTCTCCGTATTATCCGTTGACCACAGCGTACTAGGTACGATTTTTTTGTTGCTCACGATATCACTTCACCAACACTCTCCGTTGGTTCCAGTGATTTTACTCAAACCGTGTCTCCCCTGATCTGAGTGAGCACATAGATTTACTGCCGCAGTCGTAATATCTCTTCTGTAGAGCCATGCGTTTCTTTTGCCTTGACTGTATGATTATTAGTGGCGTAGTCTGTGGCTGGAGTAACTGGCTGCAGATGGGTAGAACCGTGCATGTGCCTCTGTCAAATAAACGTTGGCTCGGACTCGTTCCCATGTTGACCGACGGTATGTTCCGTAACTCGAGCAGCGCCATTAGTGGGTCGCTACCATCCGCAACGCATTTCTTGATAAGCTTCTGTTTCACTGCGCTTTCTGCTTTGCCATTGGATTGATTATGATAGGGGCTGGTAACGTGGTGCTCAAAACTCCATCATTCACTGATTTTCTGGAATTCGGTACTGCGAAATTGGGGACCACCATCGGAAATCACCTAAAGTGGTATTCCGTGTCGTGCGAAATGAACGCGCAGTTTATCAATGGTCTCCACCGATGTGCTGAATCGCAGTAAATCAACTTCGAAAAAGTCACTGTAGTAATCAACAGTAATCAAGTAGTTATCTTTTCCGTGATAAAAATGTCCAGCTCTACCATCTGCCATAGTCTATCTGGTATTGCACGCATACTCACTATCAGTCTTTCACCACGAAAAATCAGTTCATCGTGAACGGTTAGTTTATCTCGGAATTTGAAATAGGGCAATACGTCCATCGGAAGGGATGTTTTATTTCTTGGCCAACCACGAGTGATAACTCCTTTGAGTTCTTGCATGCTCGGATCGTCAATAGTAGCATTTCGTATGTGAGACATTTCGAACCAATGCTGCGTTAACGGATTCCAGTTTTTGTTTCTGTCCTGTGTCGGGCAGTGTGGCTGGTAATAGTGTCCGCCACAAACATGCATTTACCTTGTTCGTAATGCAGCTCATAATTGTATTTCTGTTGACTTATTAACATTGATTGTAATCTCCTTGGTGCTCTATGGATTTGTTTATCCACAATCATGATCAGTGGTTTGTGATCCGAGTATACGTCCATGAGTCGACCAAATGTGTAGTCATTGAACTTCTCCAGCGCATTCACAGTTGCTGGCAATTCTTTCTCAATCTGGGTATGCCTTTGTTCACAGGCCGTTAGTGTCCTACTCCGATAATCCAATGGACGCCCATTTTGAAGGAGCACGGCACCTAAACCAAATTGACTGCTGTCACATTGTATGCATTGGGATAGAAGTAAGCTAGTTCCGGGGCTTTCACAATAACTTACTTGACGCGATCAAAAGCCACCTGTTCTTCTTGTGTCCAAAGCCACGGTTCTCCTTTATACATCAAATGTCGAATCGGCCGCATCAATTCCACCAGTTCTGGAAATCTGCTGAGATAGTTTATCAGTTCATTGAATCGTGATACGCCTTTTGCATCAGTTGGGAGAGGCATTACTGCAACTGCTTTTACTTTTCCCGGTTCCGGTTTGATCCCTTCATTTGTAATTACGTGACCGTGAAAGCTGACTTCCGATTGACAAAAGATTAGCTTGTTCTGTTTCAGCTTGATTCCGTCTCGTATACAACACTGTAAAAAGCCTTCAAACCGTCTGTTGTGTTCATCTGCATCTTTACCAAAAATTAGAATGTCGTCCGCCACGCACAATACACCGGGTAAATCATCCATCGCTTGGAGGATTCGTTTCTGAAAAAAATTTCACCTGATACTTCCAACCCGTACCTGATTTATCGCGGCCTCATGTGGTTCACCACTCCAAGTCCCGGGGCTTAGGTTACCGGTTTCCATGACGGAGCAGGAGATCTTCGTGACCATCGGGTTCAAGCCGTCTGCTGTTCATCACACTTGGGTGTAATAAAAACAACCGAACGGCACTCTTGTCCAACGATATCGCCTGAGTGGCGTGCCAAAAGTATTCAGGTAGCTTGATCTATCGTCCAGCTCTGAATGTCAAAACGCAGAGGCTAAATTCACCTTCTGAAGTATCTTGCATTAGCTAATTCCGGTTGTTGTATATCGTCAAAAATGAGTGGGGTGAAGTGCTCCCGTCTTAACACATTGTTTACTGGCTTCGGATCAATACATATTCTCAATTCCCCAGACATTTTCGTCACCACCACAATCTGACTTAATCAGTCCGTTGGTTCATCGACTTCCTCCAAAACGCCCTTTGCGATAAGGTCATTCACTTCGTGCGACAATTGTTCTCGAACTGCCAGTGGGATCCGCCGCGTTAGTAAAACAACGGGTTCGGCTGCGTCGTTCATATGAAGTGTCACATTTCCCGGCAACTTTCCCAGTTTTCCGTCGGAAACAGAGGCATACTTTTCAGGTACTATTCAGTGTCTTTACAAACGTGATGAACGAATGAATCATAGTTAGGCGATACCAAAGAAAGTCGCTCGATGGACCCGTATCCAAGGATTGGAATATAACCCGGCTGCACGACGACAAAAGAGACTCCTTTTATGGGAGTGGTTTCTCCTTTCGGCTCCACTTTTGAACCGTTCCACGTAACTAATCTCTTCTGGGTAGAATCCATTGTAGTATCGGGTACGCAGCTGAAACAATCAGTCGGTTCCGCTGTCTCTTAGGGAATAAATTGTCATTTATCACAAATTACTACAGAGGGCTGTACGAACCGCTCCAACACTAACTTTATGGTGTCATAAACACTTGTTCGTATAGATTGTTTTTAACACCAAGTGGGAATGCTGAGGGAGAGTGGATTTCGAGGCAGACATTAATGCAAACGAGGGTAATGGAAACCATATCATTCAATGATCATGAAAAATATGAACAGAAAACGGTAGACACTCGCATGATTTGAATGGAAGTGATGTTTATTTGGATAGTCGCGCGTGATGTACCGCGTAATCGATTGCCGTGTTGTTTTCAATAAACGAGGGAGTGATTGTGGTGATGTTTGTTGTGCTTTTAATTCTGCACTTGGGATACTGTCGGATCATTCAATTTTTCATCTGGTTTATCGAGGCTCCAACGTAAAGGATACTGAAATTTTGCCTGTGGATGATCATTTGAGGTACACGTTTCGTTTTGAAATGGGATTCAGTTGAACTGGTCTCTCATTGCTCGGGCCCCAAAGTCACAGTGTCGAAAAAATGGTGAATGGTGTATGTGAATTGGCACCGAATGAAAGTTCATTGTTTAATAAAAGGGAAGGGATGTGGTGGCCCGCTGATATAGCTCATCACATTTTCACCTCGAAGGATGTGTTCGAATCCCACCATCACCGCCTGACTTTCCCCGTTATGTATTGTATGGCCAGCCCTTTGACTGGGCGCCTCCCTCTTCCTGAAAATTGTACCATTGTATAAAAAAAAATAAAAAAAAAAGTAAAAATTAAAATATGAAGATGATCACTTATATCCGTCTCCGTTATGATGCCACTTGAATTGCTCCATTCGGTTCAAGTTGTGTGCAAGAGCTGTTTGCAATAGATATGAATTTTTCGTTCTTTCTAAAAAAGATCAATGGAAAACGGTGTGGTCTCCGTTTGGTCTCGTCAAAAGCACCTACTCTTTTGTCTTTACCGGTATCAAACTCTTGATTTGGGGAGTTGTAAGGTTGAAGTGGCGGTCAGCTGACTACATGTTTGTGTGTGTTCGCGCACATAGCAACTCAGTTGTTCGAATATTCGGCAGGTAACAAACTCTCACTCTTGTATTGATTTCCGCTCATCGGTCCACTTCGTTAGACGTATTTGTTAGTACATCTTACTCATTCACTCAATGACCGTACCACTCAACAAGCGATTCTTCTTTCGACAACTGGATCATTATAAAATCTCATCCCTGAAATAAACAAATGATGACCGAATTTAATCAATAGGACCACGTTCATGTTGTTCCGATGGTCAGCCATGTAGCTCAGGAGTAAGGTTTTTGTTTCCATGAGGAAGGTTTACGGTACTCGCCGGGCAACAGATACAAAATGAACATGCATTTTTGACCATTCTCATCAAATGCGAAATGACTGCTCAGTGCACGTTGTCAGTTACCACAGTATCCTATTGCATAAAAACCGTTTTCCATTTTATTTTGTAAACATTTATTTAGGTAGTTTTTATAAGTCGTCTGCTGCTGATCGAAGACTATCACAATAGATATTACTGGAGTTCGACTTCCTCATTAATCATATTTTTTTACCCACATCACCTAGACATTGAGACAAGTTTTACTTCCTTTTAACGGATACTTATATATATAGAGTATTTTTGTCCAAGCAAAAGCTTGTTAGCATACACGGTCAGAAAATAAGACTGGTTTTCTCCCACCGTTTATACCTATTCGGATGAACGAAGAAAATTGTTTTCTTTAGAACGGCGTCTCAGAAACGAAAATTACTGTCCATTTGGCGTTTTTAATCCCTTCCTTCAAAAAGTCCCATTAAAACCGATCTCTTGGTAAGTAGAATCCAGCGTCAAGGGCTCTTCTCGCAAGGCCCACTTTATCTACATTCACGAACTCAATCAGGGAAATCCTACTTTCTGCCTTCTTATGGAGTACGTCTTTTCATGTTACATCGTTTTACACAGATGTTACGCCTTCTAATGGGGATAGGTCACTGCTTTGGTGCTTATTTTTATCTACTATCAGCCAAGCTGTGTTGTTGTTGTTCTGTGTATAATGACCGTTGAGTGCTTTCTCTATTCGTGCTTTCAGTTTCAAACATGAACCTAATTTATTCACAAACTTATTTCGCGTTTTCGTCTTGCCACAAAGACATTCCTGGTTTGATCTTCATTTTCTGTCACTCACGCAGAGCGCCGTTTGGGATTGATTGTCGCGCCCTTGTGCAGAAGGCCAACTTGAAGATCAAACCGATCCGACTAAAACATTTGCCATCCCCACCATCTCTGTCGGGCACTCAACGTGCGAACAGTACTGTTCATTGATTATTATTTTTGAGCCTCTCTGTCAATATCGTTCTTATGCTGATACCGGTTTCATTTTTATGTCTAGATCACATGATTCAATGATTTCGCTGTGGATAACATCAGATATTAATAATTGTCAGGTGTCATTATTCATCAATTAGCCTGTTAGCCGTGAGTTCATCACCACGTGTACTGTTACAGTCCGTTACTGACCGTGTGACGCATATTTTTACTGAGCATTGCTTCCCATAGAATTACCGAATACTCTGTTACATTTGTTTAACCATGAATGCGACATTTAAGTGAAATGTGTTGATTTCAATTTCGGACTGGACCGGAGATTGGTTTACGTGTCTATATTTAACATGTGACTACTTCTAAAAAGCATTATATAAACTGCGAAAAATTGTAGCGTGGAATTTTCCCAATGTTATAGCATGAAGCTGAATGATATTTTATTTTCTGACAAATATTAGGTTTTTTACACACTAACGTGTGATCGACAGCAGACGGGGTGGAACCTCCTAGTCACGAAGACCTGCTGTTCAGTGATGGTAACCGGCAACCTAAGCCCCGGGAATTGGAATCGCCCTGCTAGGTTAGGCGTGTTATTGAACCGGTTAGAGTATAAATAGAAACACAGCCTGCAATTCTTCCGGATCCTTCTGGTAGATAAATCCTACGGGTTTCTTTTTACTTTTTTTGCATAAAATGATGCAATCTTCGGGAACGGGTAAGCGACCAATCAGCTGACTGTCAGGACTTAGCAAGTGGTGGGATTCGAACGCTCATCCTTATGGAATAATTGGGTAACCGCTAATGCGTAACCACCACTACCCAAGTTTTCACTATTTTTTGACTTACATCCACTTGTAAGATGCAAGTTGGTTATGATGAGTTGATCGATCGACTATTGCATATGAATACTGTAGTTAGGAAATAGACTATAAGTAGTCCCGGGTTTACGTATGTGCCCACAACCGTAGAAATGTACGGATTTCCGAACTTATCCCTGTCCGCCGTTTGTCCGAAACAGCTGCCTGGTCACGCTTGGTGTGTAGCACATCAGACCGATAATTGACGAAATCCTAGGTCTAATTACAGACGAAACAGAGTCCGGCACAAACACATAAGCGGAACAAGGCCTCTCAGTTTCAACCATTAAACATGCATTTTCTTGTGCCGGCTTTGTTTGCCGTCTTTTGGTCGTCCATTTAGATAGAAGAACAAACTGAAGATTGGAATGTCGAGAGCAGAGTCAAAGGGAAGGTAGAATTTATACAGCCTGAGGTTGCAACAATAGTGATTAATGCACGAGCGCCATTGTTTGCGACACTCAGCCATATCACTCACAACCTCTAACCATCGGTTACCGTGGTCCTGGGGTCCCCATCCAGGGAGCCTTACGGGACCTATATGACCCAGTGTGATAGTTAGGGCTTTCGTACCTTCATGCCAGGTTCTGGTTTCACCGACCTTGACCTTATTCATCCGCTGCGTGCCTCGGTAATTATCGCTAGGTGTACAATCCATTTGGTCACGCGTGGCGCATGTGACCAGTGTAATCTATGGAGGTTGACTACTTGCTCCATTAGACGACCGCGGTTACCCAAAGCTATACGCCTAACCTCAGCATTGCTCGTCCGTTTACCCCATCAGACTCGGCAATGCGACGTATACAGTGGTTTTCGAATACCAATCTATTTATACTCGACCCTTCACAGGCAGCAGGATGTCGCGACGGCCCCACAGATGTCTCAGGTCTGCAAATGCCAATCGAGCGTTCTGTATGTGTGCCGACACTTCATCATCTGTGACTCGTCCGCCAGGTGGGATATAGCAGCCCAGATAGCAAAATTCATCTACTTCTATTACTTTTTCAATAAGGATGAATTGGGGTGCTAGACCAACCCAATATTGTAGCAATATTTTACACTTTCAAGGTGCAAAATGCATTACCAAGGTGGCTACACTAGCACTCAAACTATCTAGAGAAGCTTCCAACTTACCTGGATCTTCACTTAGTATCACAACCTCATCTGCATACTCCAGATCAGACGGTCTGCCGTCAGACTGCATATTTACCTCACTTACTCATATTTTTCTTGAGCTTGTACTCCTAATTAAACGAAAAAAATTGCAAATATTATCGATAGTCGCAGCCTTCTCCATCTCTATACTCTCTAACCACCACTTCTGTCGGTCATACCTCAGACTCTTAGTGAGCTGACTTCTAACGAATTTGCGCTCTTTGTCGTATTTTGCATCAGAAGGAATTCTTTTGCTAGAGTCCATCAGGGCAACCGAGGCCGGGGAAATCCATTGTCTTTGCTTTAATCATGCGCCAAAATCTGCCGTTGTTTGAATGGAAGCCTTTCTGATTCGTCCAGGGGTCCCCTTTGAGCATTGAAGTCTCCAGCAACCGCGACGATGTCTGTTGATCGAACACTGGAGTGATTGAGAAAGCTCTTTGCAGAATTGATCCTTGATTTCTGGCGAACTGCAATCGGTTGGAACAAACAACGACACGACGAACAAGCAACAACGCGTCGTTCTGTAGCTGTTGACCCGCGCTGAACCGTTGAGACGTACGGCGCACAGTCGGCTACTGACTGGAATCCAGTGGAGAAGCGAGCGTTCAGCCTTAGCACTTAGCGCAATCCCGACACCAGCAACACCGCGAGCTTCGGAAGCCGGATCGCCTGACACACGAAGGATGAAGCGTGAGGTTGAGGTTGGGTTATAAGAACGCAGAGAGATAATGGAAATGGGGTCTTGTATGCGTGTTTCTGAGACACAACATACATCTAAATTGAAAGTTTCAAGAGTTCTAGCCAATACAGCTTGTTGACCGATCTGATAGAGTGTACGGAGATTGAACGCGGCTAACTGAAAAGGGGATTTTGATTTTAAAATTCTGGTAACCTCTGAGTGGTTGACCTTATAAGTTAAACACTGAGTGATATCCGATGGGTCTTCTAAACAGCAAGTGTTAGGTATTATTCGGGATTGAGAGGAAGAACTAGACAGATGGGGAGGAGGGTTTTCTACGTGGGTGCCTAAGACTTTAGGGCACGACATACTTCGCGGTGGCCCACACCGACGAAGAAGTTTTTCTTTGGGAACCCTAACCGGGGCCTTTGATTCAAAAGTCGGACCCACAAGCCAGTGGGACGTAAATCCACCGCGGGAGCGTGAACAGAGCACCCGTGTGGGAGCTTCTGGAGACTTGTCACGCAAGGCCTTAGAATTTCGATTAGTTGTTTTGTTCGCTGGTGCGTTGATTATCGGCCCGCTTTTCGGGATCGGCCCTTAGCCTCATGCACCCAATGATACAAGCAGCACGTGGACGCGACAGCACCTTATTGACTGGGGGCTGCCCAGCTTGGGCGGGCGGTAGTTGTCCAACGAAGTGCGAAGACTTCTCCTACCGTCGAGAGGAAGCCCTAGGTACCCCGCTCCTACGTCCATCTAACGGGGTTTTTTACTGGTAAACTGCCCCTCACGTGTTTATTTGTTGTATTGACCTCTCCAGGGGCGGGTGTGGATAGAAGAAGGAAGCCAGGGGGTGCCCAAACAGCTGGCCTTGTGAGACTGAACTTCGTCTGGCCTCTACCCGTTGACCTCTCAGGCATGATTGGATCTGCAGCTGTGAGGGGTCATCCTGTGTAGTTCGTAGGGTCATTGAGGCACGCAAGCCATCACACCACGTCAAGGTGCAGTCTCGACGTGATGTACCACCAAAGTGGGTTGCGACCGACGGGGTTGGAACCTCGGACCAAAGGATCTAAAGCACTTCGGCGGCAGCGACGAAGCCACTGCTCCACCAACTTGCAGGAACGGAAGAATTTCGACCCTAATATGGTATGTCAGCCTTCCGAGGTGACACTAGTGAGGCGCCCATGCGTTTCAGTTTACGGACATTGGGCTATGGGCCAACATTTTCGATTAATCAACATCTATACAGTGCAAACAGAAAGTGTGTGACTCGCAGAGCGAGAGCTTGGTTTGGTTGATATTTGTTTGACCTATGATATTTCTATTCACAATCTATGTAATCCAATTGATTTTTTTCTCAATAAATGAACCTCTACTCTTGCGGCCTTTTTCCTGCGTCTCGGTGACGGGAGAGGACAGTGTATGATTGCTAGTCCGACTCTGTGCTTCAGTTGCGACCGTGATCCGTAATCCGTTCTCGATTACTACAGTAACTTACACCCGTCTACAATTACCGAACACCTCTCAAACTTGGAACAGAGCACTGTGAAACAGTTTACCAATCTGTCGATGGTCGGTTACCCGGCTATTCTGGTCACTGGTGACTGGTAGTGTGTTTCATCAGAACCAACTAAGGACATAAAGATCAGGAAAATATTCTTCTTCTATGATGTAACAAATAGTCGGGCTCCGATGATCTCTCTCTCTCAACGGTATTGAAAACTGATGTAATCCGATTGACAAAGAAACCACAAACGTGTTACCCAAAGTGTCAAGAGGAAGGCATTCAAATATTCGCGGGGAAGCGATTACTATCCCCATCTTAGGAAAGTGTCCGAGAATATCTGAGCATCCTATTCTGCAAAATGATTTGTACAGATGCATTCGATGAACGAAGCTGAAGTGCCACTTTGATAATTTCATAGGAATATTGTACGGGTGCCAAGCGTGGTTATGGAAACTTTGGTTTGTTTCCCTTATTTTAGTAGTCCTGTAACACGTAATAAAAATATGGTGATGCTAAGTACACTCGTTTTCTCCACATGCTGCGTATCCATGTCTAAACCTGGAAGTCCATCACATGAACGATTCTCAATCTCCAGAACATTTATTAAAATTGGTCTTTACTAGATTGATGTGCGGTACAATTCAGGCTGATACAAAAACCATCACATTTTTCTTCTCTCTATTTGTTCAACACGAGAAGATATACGGACATAATTAATATTGGTCATCAATTCTGCGTCCTCTCATTTCTCGGTAAACGCACAGTTGTACACGTATGTCAAACAAAGAAACAT